ACTTTGAAGAAGCAGTGCAGTTCCTACAAAACCAGTCAAAGGTGACGAGACACATCCCGTTTCCTAGTTTGTATAAAATCACTTTGTTAGAGAAACAAACTAAGAATATCAGTCAGCTTTTAAGGCGTCTTAGAAATAAGTAGCAACCACAATTTCTTGCAATTTAGTTAGTTTTTCTAACTGTATGTTTATCTGAATAATCCTTTCATTCCTGAGCTGTCTGTGTTGATCATTTATTATTTTTTAATTTCATGTTTCTCTCAGGTGAGCAGAAAAGGAGTTGGAGTAATATCTCGATCTAAGGGGGGCGACATCGCGCTTTCCCTCGCTGCTTTTGTGCCCGGAGTTGAAGCTGTGGTGTGGATTAACGGCTGCAGTGCCAACGTTGGCATCCCTCTCTACTATAAGCACCATCAGATCCTCTCACCACTAATGTTTGACTTCACTAAGGTGATTCCCAGCGAGTCCGGAGCTAACATTATCAAGCAGGCTGTTGAAAACCCTCTGGCTGAAGAGAACAAGGGCAGCGTTGTTCCCATTGAACGAGCCGGGGCACATTTCCTGTTTGTGGCCTCTGAGGACGATCTCAACTGGGACAGCAAGGATTACCTGGACGACATGGTGGCGAGGCTGAAGCGTCACCAGAAGAAGAACTTTGAGAGCGTGATTTACCCTGCAGCCGGTCACTTACTGGAGCCGCCGTACGGACCACATTGCCCCTCTGCGTTACACGGGATGCTCAGATTTCCAGTGATGTGGGGCGGAGAACCTCAAGCTCATGCTGCAGCTGAACTCCACCTGTGGAAGAAGATCCAGGACTTCTTAAGAACTCACCTGAGCTGCAATCCTGCACAGACTAAATCCAAGTTATAGACTTAAATCTGTGGATTTCAGAGGGTCGGTTTTAGCTGAATGAAATTATTGGTTCATCTCCTCAGCAGAGCTTGGTGACTTACTGAGGAGGAAATTCAGCCAGTTGGACATCCCTGAAAACAGAAATTAACATTAGAACACCTAATTACATGTGCAATAATATATGTAATAGTTTTTTATAGCAATAACAGATTTAATATTCTGTAATTGTGATTAAATGTGTTCTACAGTTAGAGTACTGTAACTTTTTTTCTTGAATACTTTTTAATAAAAAAGATCTGAAGTAAAATCGGGGAATTTTTTTATTATAACACTTGTATATAAGCCATAATAAGAACTTCTAAATAAGTCATAATAAGAACTTCACATTAATTGTGTGAGGTGTTTGGAAACTAAGCCAACAAAAACCTGGCTGAAAACATGGTTAGATAATCTGCTATTGGTTGAGAATAATCTAGGTTGGAAGTTTCTAGGTGTTGTGGTTTTGGAATTAGAGCTGTTCTAATATCATCCTGGTGCAAACTAGATGTAAAAATGGGCCTTTATTGAAGTTTCACAAATCAGAAAAAAGTTTTCACAAATCACAAACATGGTTTGAAATATTCTGCTATTAGTTGAGAATAATCTAGTCCAGGTTAGAAGAGTCTAGGTGTTGTCATTTTTTTTAACTAGAGTATATTAAATATGCTGAAGGTGGTGAAAAATTAGGTAGAATCGCCCTTTAGTCATTTCCTGATTCGGAAACCAATTTCAGCTTCGTGTTTGTATCTACAACAAATTTCTAATAATTTTTTTAAAAGTGTTCTTTTATGCTTTTATTTTTGAAGAAACGCAGACCGCTTCCGGTTGCTTTTGTTTACATTCGGGTCAGTAGCTGAATGTAGCAGTCGGACCTCCAAGATTGAGGACCTGGCATCCAATTCGTCCCTCTACACGTAGCTGAAGGTATTCTGAGAGCCCCCAAAGTTTTTCACGCAGGGCGTTAAGGTGTTTTTAGGACAAATAAGTGCCGAAGTTTGGACATTAGCCAAGGTACGACTGTTTACTCTTCAGAAGTTTAGAAATGTGATTGAAAGTTAGTGACCTGAATAAGCTTTTATTAAGTTGAAATAACAACAAAGACATGTGTTTTCAACTCAGTTTATAGCTATCTTGGTTAAATTGGAGCTGTAGTAAGTGTAAGCTATTTGTGTTGAAGCGCAGTGTTGTAAGTCACATATTTTAATGCTCAGAACTTTAGCCTCAGTGCTTTAAAAACAGAGGGGAACAGATTATCTAAAAATTGTATTCAAGTAAGTGTAGCTGTACTTCAACATATTTTTACTCAATTAAAAGTAAAAAGTAGCCATCCAAGAAATGACTCAAGTAACGGTAAAAAAGTATTTGGTAAACAGTTTACTCAAGTACTAAGTAATTGATCAAATTATCAATCATTTAATATTTAAAAATTACATAAGACAGACCAAAATATAAAGTTAAGTGGAATTAATGACAATAATTCATATTTAATATCAAAAAATAGCTAAATCAAGTGAAAGAAAATTCTTCCAAAACAAGTACAAAACTTATGAAACTTTAACAAAAACTGCAGGTGTGTGTCCGTATATGGTGAATTTCTGGTTCAAACATGTTTTTCATTCAGTGGAAAGAGAATCCAGAAACTTTACTCAAGTAAGGTTAGCGATACTTCATAATGAAATTACTTAAGTAAAAGTAAAACGTACAGTGTAGTAAATTCTCTTAAAAGTTTTTTTTTTTTTCAAATAAGTTAATCAAGTAAATCTAATTGAGTAAATGTAGCTAGTTACTACCCAACTCTGTTTATA